TCAATAGTCAATTCTCACTCATTAGTCGTCGTCACTTCTCATTTCCCGTAAACCGTAACTGCCCGTAGGATAGACCTATGCAAATAAGGATTTGGGTCGGATCTGGGCCGGGCTGGATACAAATTATTAGCCCATTTACATGAGCGGGTCTAGCCCGGCCCGAATTTGATGGGCTAAACTCTTTATTCATACTCGCCCACCTTAGCGGGCCGAACTACCCACCGGGCCATCTGGCCCGGATAAAACACCAAAAAAAACTTTTTTTGCACAAAAAATCCAAAAAAAATATTGAACTCTTTTTTCAATATTGAAAATAAAATCACCACTCACCAAATTTACATAGAAAGCATAACAGAGGTATTGTTGCATAATTAATAAACCCATCATACTAATTCATTAAAAGAATATTGATTTTTGTTTAAGAGAGGTGCATGAACTATAACAATTTTTCAAAATTATATTAGCCAGATAATTAATAATAAAGTGAATATTTTTTATGAATATGGGTGGGCCTGTTGGCCCAGATGAGCTAAAAGTAACTTCCAGATCCGCCCAAATACAATTTGGGTTCGGGTTGGCCCGCCCATGTGAGTATTAAAGGTTGTCCATATCCACCTTTTTTTAAAGGGCGGGCTGGGCGAGCCGAGCCTTGTTTTCACATGTCACTGTACGATTACTTCCAGACTTCGAGTTACAACAGTGCCTCTCTTTTTTTGAGTTCTTCTTCTTCGAGCTGCAGAAACTCCATTCTGCAATAGCTGCTCCAATTCCTCTTCATTGAGTACTTTGACTCTTCATTGCTAGTTTTCTTCTTCTCAATTTTAACTTCAAGATTTCCAAGTATCAAAGTCCTCCTCCTGACCTCCTCTTTCTTCGTCTTTCATCAAACGAAACTGATTGTGAATAGCAAACAAATTTATCAACAAATTGATTGAGTTGTACTTATTACATGTTAGTGCAGTCATGCATATAATGGGGGGTTTAAAACGACGACATAGTAATAGTGTGTGTGAAACTAAGTTTGGATAATTGTGAATTGTCTTGCGTATAACGGGCGTATTCATAATTTTTTTTACTAAGAGTATTAATTTACTGTGAACTTGATTGTGGGTTGATTAGTTTTAAAATTTTTATTTGTATAGTTGTTTGAAAGTGATTGTGAATTTTGTTGTTTTGTGTTTATGTTTGTGATTGACAGTTTTGTAAATGACTTCAATTAATAGTGAGAAAGATCAAACTTCTCAATCAACCCAAATTGTTAAGAAATGTCAAGAAACTGCACTCAAAAAAGATGAGAATGAAGAAGATGATTCGAAGATAATACAATTTGATAATAACTTGTCTTATTGAATATTGAGAGATATGACCCTATATATAGGGAATACAAGAGTAATCAAAGTACAAGTAGGAAAGGAAAGAATAATCCTAGTAGGAAAGGAAAGAAGTATCCTAATTTAATTATACTTCCTAATATCCCCCGCAAGCTGATCAACGAAGACGAGAGGCAGCTTGGAACATAAGTACTCAAAAGGAACTGGCGGAAGCGGTTTGGTAAGAATGTCTGCTAGCTGCTCAGAGGAGGAAACATGATGTGGAGTCATAGTGCCTGCCATAACCTCATCTCGTACAAAGTGACAGTCTGTGCCCACATGCTTCATGCGATCATGAAGAACCGGATTTTTGGTGACACAGATAGTCGACTCATTGTCACAGTATAACTTCGGTTTGGACGGAGGAATACCCAGTGCATCAGTGATATATCGAAGCCACATAGCTTCTGCAACCCCTGCAGCCATAGCTCGATATTCAGCTTCAGTGGATGATCTAGAAACACGAGTCTGCTTTTTCGTGCACCAAGAGATGATATTAGGACCGAGTAGGAGTATGTAGCCCGTGGTAGACTTGCGATCATCTTTATCATTGGCCCAGTCAGAGTCAGAGTAGACAGATAGGTCGAATCCCCCCTTGCGAAAAAGAAGACCATGATTCAAAGTGCCTTTGAGATAG